GTCTTATTGTATAAAAGAAATTATTGTCGTATACTATAATTTGGTTTTTATAACAGAATTACGATCAAGATTTCGTCGAAGCCGTCATAAGAGCTTACGAAATAAAATATTCTCATTTAGTAATGCTGATGAGGCAATTCTGAATATGTACAATATATATATATGAGTCTCCCTATCCCCTTCTTCTGCACAATTGTTCGTAATGTGAAAGTGAAATATCCTCGATGGAAGTTTTTTGATCGAATAATTAAACAATTGTCGGGACCACTTCCTGGCCAGGACACGTTGTCCCTTCTCTGCCATTATACGAACTTTTAATGTACTAAACATCTGCGGCAATTATCTAGATTAAAATCGTCCGATCGCGTGCGTGGAGCTTATTTAGCAAAAGAATGATCAGATACAGCAGTGTGCATCCCAATGGAAATCTCAATGAAAGACAAAAGGAGAACAAATGTATAGAGACACGATATACAGAGAGAATGCTACCGATATTACATGTACTCGAAAAATGAAATATAAATTATCTATAATTTGTTCGAGAGAAATTATCTCTCTTTCATTATGAATTCTCTTTCTACACAGGGAGAATTTTCTTTTAGAATTTACCCTGAAAATCATGGTAACCGTAGGACAATATGGTATACTAGAAGAATTTTATAAGAGTTTTTCTAATTAATATATTTAAAACAATAAAAAATATTAATATCACAATAAGATATAAAATAGGTTCGATTTATTTTACTATATGAATATTTTTTATTTTCAGGGTAAATTCTAAGAGAAAATTCTCATAGACTTAAAATGGTCCATAATAAGGATTAAAGTTGAATTTATGATGATTTTTCAAATTATATCAAATTATCGAAACAATCGAAATACATATTTGATATTTAATTTAGGAATATCATGCGCTATTAACCGCGAATTTCTAATTAATTCTGACCTCTTTGTGTGCTTTAGATGCACGATCGGGTAAGATGGTTAACGCGCTTGCAGTCGTAAACTATCAAGGTGGCGCTTACGGGAAAATGATTCCGATTAATAATTAATCAGTTCGATAATGTTGTCTCGCGTTATCGCCCGCGAGCTGCTACCCGCTTTTCTTTATTACCACTTGTCGATGATAGATGAATCGATCCAGGCGCAGCGCGCTAAACTACCCATTACGACTATACGCGTTCCTGATCACATCTCGCGCGCACGCGGTTAATAAGATAATAAGTACCACGCGGGGATGAATAATCGCGATTGGGCGCCATTGCGCCGCCGGTCCTGGCACACAGCTTCCCGCGAAGAGGAGCCCGTTATCATTATCCGCGCGCAAGTACGTCGCGGAACAGCGATTAACCGTAGCAATAAGGAAGTGCCTGCGTTACGGATTGATCGCCCAGGTTCTCTTAATTTTCGTTGCGCCGCGCCAGCACAACAAAAGTATGCGAGATGTGATCAAAAAGTTCGTGCAATTTTTGTTTATTTGAAGAAGTATGTCCTTATTCGTCTACATTTAATGTTGTCCCCTTTAAAGTAAGCCCCATCGGATATAACACATTTATGCCAACGTTTTTTCCAAGCTTCAAAACATTTATGGAATTTTCACGGTTTTACGTGTTACTTCTTTCTCTTCCCAAGAATAAAGAAAACCACGAAAGGATGACAACGATTTGCAATCATTAAAGACATTAAACAATAATCGCTGAATGATCTGTAGGCTATACGAAAACTGAATTCCACAAATGCTTTGAAGACTGGAAAAAATATGTTTTATCTGATGGGGCTTACTTTGAAGGGAACAACATTAATTAGGTGAATAAAGACATACTTTTTCAAATAAACAAAAATTGCAATAAATTGCGAACTTTTTGATCACACCTTGTGACGACGAATCGTTGATTAATAAAGCCAATTTTAGAACAAGAAATTCAAGGGGTGGGTCCGGGTTTCCGATAAACCAGCATACGGGAGCGAGAGAAGCGCGTTTTCCTTTCACGAGCAAAATCCATGGAAGGACCGAGGTGGTTATCGGCGGGGATCAAAATTATAATCGTGACGTTAAGTAACGGTTTCGTCAAAGTGAAAGTCCAGTGGCGTGGCGAGATGATCGTCTCTCGATATGTCGGGTATATGACTCCGTCGCACAGCCACACGGGAAGCGCGTGTGCACGCATCTCGTACCTAATTATCGAGGAATGCTTTGTGCGTGTAGGAAGCCGCGTTCGGACTTAACGACTCGGTGCAAGAAAGAGACTCTCGAGCGAGGCATGCGAGATTGAGCGGTACGCTATACTATTATATACGATACTATTATACTTACGCGATTACTATTATATACGATTTCACGATCGATTTCGCACTCTTTTCCTGTATTGCACAGCGGCTCTTATATATAATACGTATATTGGGGAGTGCACGTGCGAATTATCGCATTGCATTATTGTAATTTGGCATCTGAAAAAGTATCGCTAATTTGCATCTCTTATGATTTCAAATAAAATATTTTTATCGCATGATTTTTTATGCTCAATATTTTGCTCTTTTAGTAATATACTTATTATTGATATTTTAACGACAATTTAAGCATTGTATCAAATATAAATGATTATGAGTTGAATATCTCAAACATATGTTTTCTCCCATTTATAAGTGTTTTTTCTCTCTCTTTTTTAAATATTCTTTAATTTAAAAGCAGAAAAATGTATAATTAAGATAAAGTTATACTTAATAACAATCTTTTTTTTCTCTTCAGCACTGATCGTTTGATTGGTTGCTCTCGTAATTTTGATGGATATTATTACTATACGAATTCTATTTCTACGTCGACCGTTTTGAATGTCTTGATGATTATGGAGGGATATAAAAAATGGTGAAAATTACACACTGGCGAACATCGCGAACCGCCCAGGTCATTCATTCACACTCGGCTTTCCAAAGGATGGGCCATCGCTATTTTTTACGTGCGCGTGATGGATAATTATTAATTATAAAGCGATCAAAACGACAGGGTGGCATTTGTGTGCGATCCATCGTGGTAATTTTCTGATTTGCTTGTGTACGAAAAATGTGTATTCGCGACAAGCTCGATTTTCGTTTTCAAGCCCTGGAGGGGCTCGTTAAACATGCACATACGCGCATAAAACCGAGTTTAAATTGCAGTTCGTTTAATGCGACGCAAACGCTGCAGAGAAAATCACGCGGTCTCAAGGTGTTCAGAAACCTGTGCTGTATACAGAAAGGGAAGAACTGTAACGTTATTACAGGCGTTTTTCAAGGCATTCAGAAACCTGTGCTGAATATAGAAAGGGAAGAACTTCACTTTATTACATGTAATGATTTAGAGAAAGTATTACCAGACAATTTTCACAGTATAACAGAGATATTATATATTTGCGACGTTTAAAAACAGAAAAAAACTATACATTAAAAAAATACAGAAAAAGAATTAATTTTTCATTTTTAAAGTTAAAGAAAATAAATTAAAAATTAAAACAGTAGTATAAAATTGTTTTTGTATAAGAATAGGTATATAAGATGGAGAAAATTAGTTCATTTTAATAATAATGCAAAATATTAATCAATATGAAGAATGTTTCGAGGATATATATATATTAAAAAATTAAGACAGATAAGTTGAAAGAGAAAAATTTACAGTAGATATATGTTCTGACACAAGTTGATTGACCATTCCTGCGATACTACCCTCCTAAACATTTTATCGACTCGCACAATCCCTCCCATCACATTATCGATTATATTCGGATGCGTCAGTAAATCGCGCGCCAATTATGTCTTCAGACTTCGTCGTCATTATGAAAATAGCGAGTGTAATGCGTCGGGGAGGCACGAGATTGCGTCCGTCGATCTTTATAGCATCTTATACACGAGGAAAACGCGTTAACACGTATTTGCTTTAGGCATCTCTCAGAATCAGTGACTCGACAATCACTCGATCCGCTAAAATTGCTAGAGAAAACATCGAAAGTAATTTAAAATGTTAAAAACTTTCACATTATTAGGTCTCTATGTGTTCCTAACAAATCTCATTCGGACAAAATTGACCCCAAATTCAATAACAAATTTGTTTAAAAAATATATATGTATATATATTTTATATATAAATAATGATAGATACTGAACTAAAATATATCTCACTATGTACCTAAATAATCAATTATAAATAAATGCAAGCTTTCTCGATATGGAAAGAGCTGAATTCTTCTGACACTACTAATAAAGCCTCGTATTTACGAAGGACGAAAGAATAACAAGCCGCTGAGTCAGATTTATACGCACCGCGAAAGATCGATGAGAGATCGAACGTCAAGTCGAGAGACCGTTCGACGGCCAGATGTATAGCGTTGCGATTTTCAAAACGAAAGCTCGTTCGTGGAAGCGAGAATAGGGAGCCTTTTGTGCGACTTTGTGGTCTTTGTGCCTTTTGTCGATCGAGGGAGGCTGACTGGCTGAATTTAATGCACGAATCGCTCGGCACAGAGTGGCCACACGCGGTTCAAGGGGAGGATGAGCCGCACATATGCGACATAAGTGCACCGTGTGCAATAATTCCGGCGTGATCATCGGAGAGAGACGAGACAGCATGTCGTGTCTCGAAACGGCGGGCTTTTGTCAACCCTTAAGCAACATCGTGCTAATTTAAACGCTAGATTTTTTTTTTAAATAGTCTCTTCGTATTTAAATTTTAATATTCGAAAAAATAATATCCCGATACTCTTTTAATTTTGAAAAAATTAAATAATTTTGTGCTTCCATAATAGACATATATAAATTTTAAATATTTAAAAATATATAATATGGTTTGTGCCGCAATGTTTTTTCTGATTTAATCATGCTGATGACACCAGCATCAGAGCGACATCAACTAATGTCGGTCGAATAAGCTGATGTGATTTCGATTGTCAATTAATCAAAACAGATCGCAAATAAGAAAAATTTACGAAACTTGTCGGACGGCTTGCATGCATATTAAGTTGATCAACACTCACCTCGTGCGCCTGATCCTCGATGCTCCGTAGAACTGCGAGATTGCGAATAGTCGCGCGTCGCGACTCGAACGATGACTCCAGTCTGGTGGCGGCTTTTCCGACCTCTTCCACCAATCTGCGAGCTCGTGTCATCGACAATCTGGAAAAATAAAAAAAACACAATTATGTAAAACCTATCGTTATAAATTTACGTAGTAACCATTCTCTCGCATTCGGAAAATCAAAACCTAATTTGCGAGTTCGCAGAGATATTAAGCCGCAAATTGCAACTAAATGCGTATCAAATATCGCATGCTTTATCTTGCATTAAAATGCTCTTGGTCGATACATATGTATATACTTCATAAAAATACAAAAATGCAAAAGATATGCACATATTAACAATAAGCTCGTCATAATTGATAATCATCGCTCTTTCAAATTCATGCAATTCTTAATTAATGGCGAATAAAATTGTTCGCCAAAAAAATAATAAATTATGTTGCTATGGATTATGTAATTTATGTCACTATATATAATGTGCACGATAATTAATATATTATTTATTAGTAAAAAAAATAAAAATAAAGGATTAATATTTTTATTTAAGAGGAAAATAATAAAAATTATAAAAATATAATAAGAAACAATCTACGTAATTCATGCTAAAAAGGACAACGCATTTTGCACGCTCATTATGGAATATAAAATTCATTTACCTAACGTGCTCGATGTGCAAAAGCGGGGCCGCGCGTTCCTCAAGCGTGGCGATAGCCTCTTCGGCATCTCTAGACGTTCTTCTCAATGTGGGGTCCGTGAGGAGCCGACCGAGAGGCGTCAAAGTGCCAGACAGGCTTGCGCATTCCTTCAACTCCGACATTTCGAGAGCCAACCTGCGACCAGCTGATTGCCACTCCGTCATGAGGCTGTCGTACTCCTGTAAGAAATCAAAATACCAATCATGTCGAAGCATCGATCTATCTACTATCCGATAATGTTCTCGCGATCCAACGAAATATCCTTGATCGACAACCGGTATTCTGGAAGAAATATTAGTGATGTCTAAAAGTAGATATGTCTGCGATACGGCGACTGCGCGATTCGATGAATCGTAATCGATCAAATCAATTATCAATCTTACGGAGAATACATTGTTTAAAGAGATACGTAATATAGATGACGCATGACTGTTACAGAATATGAAACAAATAATCCGAACTATTATCTTGATAATTTCTCTCTTAGCTCCAATTATTCGTTCGCTCGAATTGAACCGCAAATACCAATCGCATTAGATCAACCTTGCGACGAATGTAACGTATAGCAATATCGGTTTCCGATGCAATCAATTATAAATACATATCTATATAACGAGATATATTAATATTGGCTGATATAATCTCCAGATCTCGAGATTATTTTGTAGAAACTAGATCATCAACTTTCATATATTAATTTAGATGTAATACCAAAAAACTTAAATTAAATATATTTATCTCTATCTGCTTTTATTTTAAATATACATGTTTCAAAGAGAAGAAAGTTATAAAATGTACACTAAAAGTAAATCGATGCTCTATGTGTGCATAATAATTTATAAATTGGGCTAATGTCTTATTTTCGCGAAAGCGCGTCCACATCGATCAATCTTGCAGATCAATCAATTAATACTTCGTGATTAATCTATCGGCAAATTTCTATCGCGATAATATTGTAAAATAATTGATCACTGTAGGAGGACATGCAATTTGATATGATTATTAATTACGTAAAATTGCAGAATTATCTCTAGATATTCTTCTATTTTTTCTTTTTATTTATTTTATCATACTTCGAAAACTAATTTTCATTGTCCAACCCTATCAACTTAAATAAAGTCTCATTAATAAATATAAATATCTCAATAAAAAATGTAAAATAATCTTTAATCACTATGTCATATACATATATATTAAGCTTGAAGAAATTAAAAAAATTTTTTAGAAATAAAAAAGAAAAATTAACATACAAATATGAAAAACTATAACAAATGTTTGTGTTTATGTAACTAATCAAAATTAAAAAAAACAATAATTGATCTTTTCTTTTAATCTATTTTTTAAAGAAAAATTTTAAAAGATTCCAGCAATTAAAACAGAAATATGTGAATATTTTCATAAATAATATGAAGGTGTGACAAATTGGTAATGTCGATCAATACTACAATCAGACGATAAATTCTCCGACTATCATTGCGAGATAAAGATCATCGAACAAACAGATCGGTACAATTATTTCGCTCGAACAATTTTCAACGTGTATTTATTCTGTCAAATCTGCCGAATCATTATCATGACATTAAGCCGATCTAAGTGGCTTTCGGTTGCCGTTGAACGACAAGTTGCGATAACAATTTGTCGCGAGGTTCGCCTTACCAAGAAATAATGCATTATTTACATACCCGTTTGTTAATCTTTACTAACTTTATATAATATAATGCAATAATAATTTAAGTTTTTCTCATCTCTATAAATCTTATATATATATATATATATATATATATATATATAAACTAAAAAAAAAAAATAAATAAATCAGTGGAGAGATTTTCTAAAATATAATAAAATATATTATTCAAATATAATTAACCAAATGATTTAATGACTGTATCGATCCGCATCGTTATTTAAATATCGTTGATACGTATTTATGAAGTGATTCTACATTCGTTCCTTATACGCTCGTTATTTCAATTTTTTGCAGTGTTGACAAATGTAGATATTCATTGTAAAGGCATAATTACCTTGTAAAAAGCGATCCACTGCATCTGATCGTGATTCTCTTCTCTTCTGGAAATATACTTGGCGAGAGAGGCGTCATTCACGATGACGGTCTGAAAGGAAATGTTTATGGCTAATTATAATGTCCCGCGGAGTCGTGCTCGTACTTGTGCAATCATAAATAACATGTATCGCAAACACCGAGTTCCAGCTTTTGTATCGATATTCGTTTTGCGACGACAAAAAGGTTCTCGTCACAATGGAAACCTCTCGGTAATAATGTACCAAGCTACACGAAATATGCGTAGGTACGGAACGCGAATGTGCATGCACTCGAGGAGGCCGAATATAAGGCACTGTAAAATCTAGATCAGCGGCGCACAATAAGCAAGCAAGGAGACAAAAACAACGAGCGATTGAGCCTTAACTATTTTCTTGTCCGCGTGAAGGTGCGCTCAATGCGCGTTTAAAGATTCAATTGTCCACTGGACTCACCTGGGTATTACTAAGAGGTAAGAGAGAATCGATCGGTCCATGCGTTGTTGTGGCATTCCGAAACACGAGAGTCTGAGCCACGTTGATTTTGCCCTATAAAATCAGAAAAAAATGCGCGTGATTTAATTCTATGACGATGATAAAGTCTTCATTCGTTCGATATTGCTTGAAATTCTTCTTACCTGCAGCAAGACCAACATTTTATCCATGAATTCCAAACTCTCCTTGGAATCGTTGAGTATGAAAATAGTGAAGCCATCTTTCGTGCGTTCGGAGCTAAAAATTAAAGATATATACCAAATATTAATGTGTGAAAAAAACAATTCTGGATTGTTAACTTTCTAATTTTACATAATCCATTGAAAGTAATCGCCATTGCTGTTGCAGCGCTTTACATTGTGTCACGTAATTTTTTCAGAGTGGGTATATATTGTTGAAAAAAATATCTCCAAAAAATCAATCGACAAATTATCATTATGCTAAAGCAACAGTAACATTCAAAATTAATCCCGCGTGATTTACTAGTGTCATTTAAAAATAATCATTGTCCGTCATCTCGTATTAGCCGAGTGGCCTGCTGCTTTCGAGTGCTTATCGAAACCGTATCCCGCTGCATACGAACGAGCATCGGATCTTATTTACAAACGTCGAATTTCCTAAGCAAATATTATCGCTTCCGTCGAAGAATTTCATGCGCACACGTGAGTCATCGCGTGTCGCAGTAGTATACACGTATGGTTAAATCTCCCACGTGTGCGCTGCTACGATTTCTCCTTCCCATCGTCGTCGTGCGCGGAGTGAAGCATGTCATTCGTTGTATGGCGATGCTTTTGTAAATCGACGTACACGTGCAGGCCCGTCAAACCAGGCCTCGTTATGTACTTTAATCGTATCGTTTCTCACGTCGCTCGCAATTCAATTGACTGAGAGATTAAGGACAAAGCGTTTAAACGCGGTAACAACTGGCGCATTCTTAATGTCATTACTGAATATCCGATTAAACAGGGTGTTCAGCAGACTCAGTGAAAAAATTTCCTGGCTATTTCAGATTTTCCAAGACTAGAAATTCGTTTTTTCCCTGACTTTTTATTACTTTTGACAAATATATAATTTGCATATATCTATATAATAAATCAATTAAATGTTAAATCATGAAATCCTTGAGATATTTTCGTCAACAATGAAAAGATTCGGAAGTTGAAACAAGAATTTAAATTAATTACACAATCTGCATTATGTACAATAATCGAAACAAATATGCCATTATAAACTATTTAAATAATTACCTTTTTTATTTATATTATATCAAATTTTTAAATTTTGTCTCTATCGAACACATTGATATAAAATAACACGACGATGAAAATATAAATTAACGAACATTCTGTAAATGAATCGATTTTTAACAACACAGAAAATTAGCGTGCTGGGAGTCAAGGAAAAATTTATATTTATTTAATAAAAATTATTGAGACAAATGTAGAATAATGTGAAAAAATCCAGATAAATAGTAAAATTTCCTGACTTTTTACTGACAATTACAGATTTATAAAATTCCCTGACAATGCCCGGTTTTCCAGATTTCCTTGACCGCTAGACACCCTGTTAAATCGCAAATAAAAATTGAAAAAAAAACACATTAAACCAAATTTAAAAAACGTAGATAATGCAATGCCTGTCTGTTCACATTAATGTCAATAACGTCAAAGAAATTTTTGCTGAAGTAAAATTTGATTGCATCCACATAAATTAATATCTCTAGTTATAATAATAAGATCGTGTCTCTCCGGTAGCGGAAAATGCTCGTAAGCGCAATTTCAGCCGGTTAAACGTAACTCAATTGTATCGGGTATCGCAAACGGCATTAAGTTATGACACGTGGGTGGCTGATATTAAGCATGTTGCATTTCTCACGCGGCTCCCGTGGCACCCCACCCTTCTTCTACTCTTGCGTATATAATCGTATAATAATCATGCTCCTGCACAGAGCACAGCGATACAGTATTTAACTGTTACAATGCCGAGCTTTGTACGCGCCATGTGGTACACCGAGATCTATCCTAAATTGTCATCAGCGCGACAGGCTACGTAGTCGCGCATATATTATTTCTCTGTCCTCGTAATACTCTATATTTTCTACTTCTGGTTACGACTGGTCGACGTTTCTTCCGATTTCTCTGTCGCGATATAATTGATACGCTAAATTTCTCGAGTGCGACGAAGAGACGCCTATGTAAATGCCTCGTGACAACCTTCTCAAATTGCACGTGCAACTGTACGTCGCTACTCCCCATAAAACTCGATAGCGCAAATCATAGAGTTGAACGTGAGTCGATGTACGCGAATCTTGTCGGAGCGGTAGTGGAAAATAAGATAAAATCAAACCTCTGTCTTGATTTCCTGTCGTTAAACGTCCTGGTATATAGTTACGGTAATCTTCGAACCCAGGAAGATCATGTTTCTGGATTTCAATACCGTGAGATATTCGCAATAACGATCTTAAATGATGTTATCGTTGGAGAGAGAGAAAATTATCGAAGGCCTAAATATTTAATTCTCGTTCATAATCAATTTTTAATAATAATTAATTATGCATTCTATTTTTACCTATTTTTATTTTTTATATATCACGCATTGTATGATTATAATTAAAATAATTCGTAAAAATTATATATTATACGCATTCAAAAATATCATGTTTAATTTATCTAAATTTAAAGTTTATTTTAAAATAATATATTTCCATTTTTAGCTACAAGATTAAACTGTCTGATAATGTTCTTTGACCAATCATCATCGATGCCCGCAGACGTAGCTGAATTATTCGATATTTTTCATTTTACCGTATGATGATCGAGGATCAGAAGACGCGATCGCGTCCTTCCTCGGAATCATCGCGCAATCTATTATCCGGTCGAATAGATCGTTTTCATGTAACCGTAATGACACGTACCCGTGGAACTCAACGGCGCGGAACAGTTAGATCACAGCAGCCGTCTCCCCGGAACTGGCGATCGCCGTTGATAAGTAAATCATTTTGATTTCGCCGAGTTAGCGCGACGCCCACGTCTCTGGATTCATCAGCTCGCGATGTAATCGCCCGGTTGACGTATGATAAATATAGGTATTAGCGCGCATGTGTCGCGTCTCCCTGTCGACCCCCTTTTACAATGCGATTCATCGGCAACGGAACGAGATCGATAACGACGAGGCCCAGGGGTTGCCGTGTCGACATTGATCGTCCGTTAGCGTGCCTGACAGTTAGCGCTTCGCCTAAATTACACGTCCCACACGTCGAGAGAGCTAATGAAAGGGCGCCGCGCGATAGGTTTTGTCGCTCGCCGGAGATCCCGTTGTCGAGCGGGCGTGCACTTCCTTTCGTAATGAACGTTGGTAACGGGGACGAGATGGTCTCTCTTTCTTTTTCTCTCTCTCTCTCTTTCTCTTTCAGTTAGCGGAAGTCAATGTCACCATGCCAGCATGGTATGTAAACGACTTTAATTATAATCGCTTGTCCGATCTAATGCGAGATTGTCGAGAGTTAGCAGCAATCAATCGCTAATTTCCACTTCTACTTTCTAGTTAACGATTTGATGATTTAATACCTTGTGCTTAACGCCGACACTTATATTATCAGCTATTTAAATCTCTTGAACGCTGCATTGAATTTTCAAAATATTGAATTAAATATTAAAAATCTTGTAAAACTATTTTTCGAAAGAGTTTCCGTGTAATATAGTCCATAATAGCTTTAAAATGTTCATGATGTAATACGAAAACATATATAAAATATAATCACATAAAACATATAAAATATCGTCTCGACTCTCAGAGTCCATTTGAACATTAAACTTGTACAGGCTTGGATTTATCCGTTATTGTCGACGATCACACACAACTATGTCACTGCCCACTCTCGGAAGAACCTCTCGTGTGTGCATTAGCGAGCATTGTCGACCTAGACCCCGGTAGAACCGCTGCATTCGGTATCGTACGGACACTCCGCGTGTTGCGGAGCGGAGTCTAAAATCACGATCGCGTCCTGGGTGGGCGAAGGTTTTGTCGAATGAAGGCTGCGTCACGACCGACTGTCGGCTCGCAATTGACACCGAGGCGAGTCCCGGTGTGACGACGATAATTTCGCGACCCCGGAACCGCGCGCAAATGACATTTTTGCCCGACGCGCTCGCAGGACGACCCGCCGATTGTCATCGTCATCGCCGTTCAACTCTGCTTATCACTGCACTCGGCACGATGATGTTACGTTCAATTTCTTTTTCCTCGCGAACCGAGAGAAAATGCTCAGTCCGCGCGAATCATACCCGGAAACATCTCCCGGCGAATGAATCCTGGTGAATTATATTACGGTCTCATATGGAAGCGTCTAACTGTTATGGTTACGAGACTCCGCGTTTTTCCGTCGTGAATTTTCTATCGAGCCAAAGTTCCATTCTGATGCTTAGTCACGAGCCATAAAGTTTGGATAAATATAGTAGTTAGCGTTAGGATGTCGTGTCGACCATGATAAGCTTCGGGAAATCACCGCGATAGACAGTGCGTGGTCAGAGCTGTCTTTTAAACAGAGAATACCGTATTTCTCGATATAAATATATTCAATCCTTGAAAAAATATTTCATTACATCATCTACGTGAATTGTAAAATTCGAAGACATTAGGAGATAACAAAAGATTATATTAATTTTCAAAATGTACATTTGCATAATTAATAAATATATTTCGCCTTTTTAAAATCTGTCAATTTTTATCAACTCATATTAAGTAATACTATCATATTAAGCTAATATCAAAATAAATCAGAATGCCGAAAAATCGATGCACATTAAAGATAATAGTATATGTCGTATTAAATGTTTACGAAATATGTATCTCGCATAAAAGAATCAATCAATTGAATCTTACTGGGGATATCAAAATATACGACCACCCGCTTGACCAGTTAAAACCGATGGCTGTAACGTGACTGATCCCAGCGATTGACTCTCGAAAGATCGAATTTCGGATTGTTGAAGGGACGAGATGAGCTCGTAGAAAGTCGACAAGTCGAGCTCGACGTAAGTGGAGCATAAGTCGTCCGCGAAACGTCGGTAGGTCGTGCGAACTGACACTAAAAACGGACAAACTTATATTCGTAATAATTTTCTAATAACGTAAATAGTATTTTAACGAGTCTGCAAAAGATCGCCGGTATTTAAACATTACACGCTGTTAATTACATCGCTGACGAGAAACGATCGCGCGAAAATCGTGTGGCTTTTCCCGCCGAGAGCGAGAAAATAAAGCGAGCCGCGATTATATGTCTCGTTGTAAAAAATGTATAAACCTTCACATCTCCACAATAAAACATACATGTAGACATGATTACATGTTATGTGAATAGATTTAAATGAATGAAAGAGCAGTGAAGATAATTTCTCTAAGAATGTGCGACCGGAGTAAAATTTTCTTTAATAAAAAGACTCTGATAAATATAAAAAAAATTCAGGTAGGATGGGCTAATAAAAGCAGAAATTAGGGAACAAATTTATTTAAAAATCTCAACTCTAGAATTAACCCACTCTACAATAGTTGCGTGCGCTATGCCGAGGAGATAGGCCGGACAAATAAGAAGAAAGCAATTAGAGAAAGATGAAAAGGTGACGGCGGCACAAAAAACGAGAGGCACAGATAGCACAGATACGATCTCGGAAGTGGGTCAGTAAACTGCAGTCACGAATCCTCGTCCCGGAGGGAAAAGTGAGCGCGATAACGAGGAGGGACGTTTCGCCGAAGTCGTTACCGTTAACCATCGGCAGAAACGGAGGGTGGCTTGTATCGGTGGGAGGGAGGGCAAAAAGTGCCCGACGATCACGTCGACTTCTCGAGATGAAGGGGCGCGGGTAAAAGGATTGATGCGCGTCCATAACTCATGCGGAAATGCGGTCAGGTGCACAACTGGATCAAACGAGAGATCCTCGCGATCCTATCATCCCGCGATTTGCCGCTCGTGACTCTCCGTTCTACACGATACATACGCGACAGATTGCCAACCACCGAGATGTTTCCTGACCTACCGTTTGTTTTCGCGCGATCGTCTATTAATTATTTTGTCGCAGGTTATCTAGCCGCGATGAATACTCGACGCCGTAGATTTATCGATCCTTGCAAAATAGTTGTTCTGTATATAAACCATGTAAGTCACGTCAAACTAATTTTTGAGAGAGAAAGAGATAAATTGTCTAGACACTTTTTTCATCATAAATAATTGTTATAAGTATACCCAAAAAAATTTGACTAATAAAACATCTCGCTGTGAATACATTACGTTACATATATTTTTACGCGAGTGTATCCGTCAATCAATTTCTCACCACCCTCCTTCTTAATATAACGATCAAAGCTCCGATTCAACACTGGCGATGCGAGTTAACGGTGAAAGACGACTCGAGGTCAATTTCGCCTGGCAATGCATTTGCGAATTACTTTTGGTGATTCGACCTTTCACCGCAACCAATCAAGTTATTACGCGTAACGCAAACCGCGGGAGTCTCGCTTGACGCTTAATATATTTCTCCTGTGTGAGATATAAGCTTTCAAGGCGGCCACTGCAAAAGCAACTGTGAAACGTGACTTGTTACTTCACACTATGACAATCTTGAATTAAGAAAGTTGTACAGATCCGTTACATGTATATCCCTTTAAGATTTCATCGTTTATACATCAATTTACTTTTAGTTAAATATTTTATTCTGCTTCTTCACATTATTATTTGATAACAGAAAGATAACAAAAATTTAATATATATACGAGAAAATGCATATTTGACATATCAATGATTTTAATTAAAATATTATTTTTCACGTTTTATTCCGGAGTTTAATATTTTTTTTCATACGAGTTCATAAAAATATTAAAAAAATTAAAATATATAAAACTTACGAAAAAAATTAAAAAATCCTATACAAAGAATAAAAGCAAGTCTATATAAGTAAATGCATAAATATAAATGCAAACTCAGGAAGTTTAATTAAAATGGAAACGATTAGCCTATCTCACATCTGTCGTTTCAATCGACCAATAAATATCGATACTCGCGAACATGCACGATGAGTGCACTCAATGCACGATAACGATATGTACCGCGCTTTCGCCATTTCACCCGTGAAAATAAGACATGATCAAAGCACGGCACAATTTTTTATCCATTTCACACGAGACTCGTTTTCGTTTTTGGAAAGCCGACAATCAATAATAATTAAAAGTATGAGCATCCGTATGCTGTTAAAAAATACTGACAATATTTGTCAATGTTAGAATGTCACTGACTTATATTCCCGAGTATTCCAATATTATTCGAAAATTATTTAATTAATCGCGCACATCTGTGCCTAATTGGAATGCATGTGCGTCCCAGATTCGTAACAAACATCTAGCTATCCATTTATTTTCCGCGCGATTTGTCCATCGATTAAACGCTCTTCCGCGTGATTACATGATGAAATGAAAGAGTGCCGCCTGTTTTTATGCCTAGTCGAGATATTACACGGTACGATAATGCGTAAACTGTGTACATATAAAGTTTCGTATACGCGCGTTGAGCGCGTATATGGAAATTCCGGGGTCAATTTCATGGCGAGGAGGTTCCCAGTCGTTTCGCCGTTTTGTTCGCAATAATAAATCTGCATCGTCGGACTTATCTGCGAAGTAATCTGCCACCGATAGCCCAGCGAGGCGCTATGTCAACGTCGCGCGTCGCGCTTTCCCACTGCGGTCGCGCGAAAAAATGCTAATGAATCTCTCGCGCAACGCACGTACGAGTATAACCGGCGCGCTGATTTATAGCGATCGTGTTCCGCTTAGAGAATCATTATGACACCACCTTTCGTCGCGGATTCCGCGACGAGAGATATGTAGTCCACGTTGCGTATACTCGCGCTTCCGAGTCTTTTTCTCTCGGACAACGAAATATATCGATGCATAACAATGCGTATTGTTGGCCAAGCGAAATGATAACTCGACCGCGATAAATTAGATGTATCGATTCTGGGAACGCGAGAGATAAATCGCTTTCAATATTGCAAGCGCGAGTTTCTTATTATCGACGCGGAAAATCATCCGGTCAACCAGAATACATTTCGTTGCAGCGGCGTAATAATTTGTATTAATTCCTGCGTAGTGCAATCGACGATATTTTTTCAGGGATCCCTTCAATTATTCCCACGAAGATACATCGCGATCTCTGAAAAGCCCGCGGGAGACGGGCTATCAGTTGCGTGAGTTAAACTTCGCACCAAGAAGGAGAGAGAAAAGATATACCGATGAAAGGCGGCGTTCGATGAAATCGCGGAAATTTTCCGTCGCGGACTTTTTCTCATGCCGAGGCTCGTATCGATGGGGAAGAGTCGCCGACGCGGAAACGAGGCAGGTTCGTTCGTTCGCGTCGAAGATGCTGAAAGATAGTTCGACGGTGTTTTTCGCCGAAGAAACGCCCCGAGCGCGATAACACGCGCTTTTCTCGTTTTCGTCCTTTCTGTCTCGTTCCTCCCGCCGCCTTTCTGGACGCTCTCTTCCCGCTCATTTGCGTACACGATATTGCGTCGTCGCACGGAAAATCATAAAGCCGCGGGATGATCGATACCGGTATATGCGAGACCACCGTCGTATATGTTTTATGAGCTAGAAAGTATGTAAATGTATTTGCCGGTCAAGAGCGCGATAAAGAATCGCAAATGACGTCGTATAAAGAAATAAAAATCCAAAAATTTATTTTTGCACACAAGATACGCGCTTTAAAATTTCTTCATCTTTATCTACTTTATGATTTATATGTTAAATAAATGTACACTAAATTCGGATAACAAATAAATCTCGTATACAAGCGGTGTAATATTTCACATTTGTTCAATTAAATTTACTTTTCAATATTTTAAGTTAATTAATGCCTTTAATAATTAATAACTCATTGATAACTATCTTATCGAATATTAGATACGCACGTATACGTTTCCCGTAATCGAATACACGTCGATTTGCGTTCGATTCCGTTCTCACGGTATTTAATCGGTGTTGCACCGATGTTAGAAAGTGCTATATCGGTAGGCACGTCGTAAACGCGTTAATTGAATAGCTTACAAATGAGAGGAAGCTTCGTTAGAGAGCTTGTAGGACGAGATACGACCAGGCCAGGAAGAACAGCGAGCCCGCGATTTTGCCTCAGCATCGACGATTATAGTGGGCGTGTCCGCGATTTCATGACAGTGGAAAATTATAATTATTACTGACACCGGCGTCGATCACGTTTATTTAGCGGAAAGCGCTGGCGCGCGCGCGCACGAGCTCGCTCCTCTTCCTCTCTGCCGGCCGGGATTAATAAATTGCCAATTCGGAGTCGGATGATTTCAGTTATTATCGGCTACAACGGCCTCGTTGAGGAGTACAGATGCCGTCGTAATAATGGGTGTCTCGCGCCGGCACGCCGCGGCCGTAAAGTGCGAAGAAGAATTCTTCCTCTCCGCGGGTTAAAAATGCTCTTTGCAAAAATTATCGCGGCCCCGCGCGCTAATCGAATTCATAAATTATAGCGTGCGCGGCCCGATGGGCGCGCACGCGCGCGACTGATCTCGCGATATAATCCGGCTGATTTATCGATATCCCGCGACTCCGTAGGGTGATTTCTCCGAAGGTTGGTGCATTATGCGATTTTTTATGAGATACGTACCTGGGTAGACGAGCGAGGTAGAGCAGAAAAGACGATGTCTCTCTAACGGAGAGGTCCTCCCTTGTGGACACGTTGTCCTCGAATTCGATAACTGGTCTCCCGACGACGTCTATGTATCCTGCAACAGATAATTAGAACAGTCTTAATTTGATATCTCATTTAAAATATTTAATATAAAAAATCCATTAAAATGTACCAATTTCTCTTTGTAAAGAAATTTTTAGGGAAATTTTAAAAGAAATGTTTAATTTAAAAAATTTATCAAAAATGTACCGATTTCTCTTAGTAAAGAAATTTTAAAACCAAGCACACATGTTTTATGCGTGCAGATATTATTTCGAAATTATCATTGTGTTATAAATTTGCCTCTCTAAAGAGATATAATGCTCTGGAAGTTTGATTTGTTCGCACATATGGCATTATCTCGTTGCATATTTTAATTTGCGTCGCGAGTAGATACATATACGATTGTGCAACGTGAATTATTTCAATGGGGCAGTAAACGTTGGCAAGCGCGGTTGATTATAAATCATGATTCGATTCACGATGAGCGATTGCCGATTGCAATCTCTCTGCCCGTAATAAATTATTAAATGACATCCTTTTAGAAGTTGTATCTATCTCGGGAGTAGGTCATCTCACTTTGAATAAGGTCTTTTAGCTACGGGGTAAAATATGTATCAGCAGTGACATTCTAAACAATTCCGTGATCGTAATAGATAACGCTGAGTAACAGTTCGTTTTCATCCGTGTTACTGCGGTCGTGATGCCGAGGTCGTAACCCCGGCTATATACTACTGATCATTAAATATAGCCGACGCCTTTTAGCATTGCTTAGAGCTGATCTATGTTTGAGAACGTAATAATGTTCGAAAGACGCTACGTCTATAGGTAAAAGTCGTGAAAGTTAATTACTAATTGATCTTGTATTTGTTGCTTCACAGTTTTACAGAAACATCAAATAAAAGATATTTGTAGAAATCGATAGAAAGAAAGATAAAGAAACAGATAAGAATGTGAGAATATTTTGTTAACAGATAATGATCTTTAAGGTTCGCCAGTAATAATTAATAAAAATCTTTCCTTAATGGTAAAAGACGACCAAACTGGCAATCAAAATGATTGCCAGTCTGGTCGACTTTTACCATTAAAGAAATATTTTGTTAAGTTTAGAATATATAAAAAAATATCCCGAGGGCGCCAAAATTAAAAATAATTACGTGCATTTAAAAATTAAATACATGTTTTCTAAATTTATTTATAATTTGTAAATTTAAAATAATTATCATCAAAAATTAGATTTAACACGCTATCTTTATATTTTTAATAGTCTAATTCCATTTCATATATATTTTAAACATTATTTCAAGATTAAAAAAGATTTCATATTTTTTATATTAACAGATAGTGCGTTTAGATTAATAAATAATCAATAGATTAATAAATCGCATTGTGAACACAAAGCCAAGAGATATATTAAATACGTGAGTACATTAATCTCCTACTGGATAGAGGTGTGTAGAATTTTACGAGACACATGATTACGAACGCATCGCGTTGCCAGTTCATAAATACGTGCATAACCCCTTGAAGCTCTTCCAAAGGTATTTGCCCAAGGCATGAATGATAATTCGCGGCGACATTACCTAGCTGTTTATGTGCTATCACAATAATAATTGTCCAACGATGATAAGAAACCATCGTACCAAAACTAATAAAGTCTCGAGGGGTAACCACTCAGAAAATATGTGTACACCTGGACTTCTGACTTCAAGACTTCACCGACTTCATCGGATTTCATGGACTTCGTAACTTCATCGGACTATGCCGGATTTCGTCGGATTTCGCTGGACTTTGCCGGACTTTGTCGACTTTGTCGGACTTTGTCGGACTTTATCGGACTTCGAGGAATTCAACGACTTCAAGGAATTCATCGGACTTTGTCGGATTTCATCGGACTTTGTCGGACTTTGTCGGACTTTATCGGACTTTATCGGACTTCGAGGAATTCAACGACTTCAAGGAATTTATCGGACTTTGTCGGATTTCATCGGACTTGTCGGACTTTGTCGGATTTTGTCGGACTTTGTCGGACTTTATCGGACTTTATCGGACTTCGAGGAATTCAACGACTTCAAGGAATTCATCGGACTTTGTCGGATTTCATCGGACTTCATCGGACTTTGTAGGACTTTGTCGGACTTTACTAGACTTCATCGACTTCGAGGAATCAACGGACTCCTGACAGGTTGTACACCAGAATTCAAGAGTGGTTACCCCCTCGTAAAGTCTTTAAAAACGTAATTCTTACATTTTTTAAATTTTGTTTGACAATGCTAGGAAAACTGTAATTAATTGCCTAATTTCGCGCAAAAATCTTTGTTTCTCTTTCTCTCTCTTCTTAATTTGCATTATTCATATCAGTTATCTTTTTATATATAAATAACAATAATGCTATATATATAGAATGCGTTCTAGTTTTACAAGAGTTTCACCATTACTATCATTATTTATCGCTCGATCATCTTGATATCTATGATATTCAATCCTATAATTACAAATAATTGTTGAGATGATAAATTAACCGAGTAACAATTATAATTTGCCAATGCACAAAAAATCTAATTGTAATGTGTACAAAGTGTAATACGTATTCTAATTGAATATCTAATTGAATATCACAGTCATGATGATAATAATAATATATTTATTTATATAAATCATAACACGTTATATAACATCTTAAAAACTTATTACTTATGCATCATGCATGTTGCATATAATGCACCGTGACAAAACAACATTTGCATTGTATTGTTAATACATCAGAAGAAATGTAAAAAATTAATTATAATAACCTCGTAATAAAAAAATCGCTTATGCATATGAGAATAAATTCGTGAGTCTTTTTTGCTAACAAATTTTTCAAATTTTTCTAAAATTATTTTCAAGTATTAGGATAATATTTATTTGTGTCTAATTAATAAATAAAGTGTCAGTCCTGCAAACACGTCGAAAAAAATTTCTCGAATCAGCGCATCGCCTCCACGATCGTAGGTAGAGATGTGGGCGTTTCTTCCGTGGGTTTCTTTCTTTTCACGCACGACGGACGACCGATCGTGCACCCGTTGTTGCGTTAATCGAACTGCACGCATCGCGACCGCTTATCGGCACGAGTACGTGGCGGTTGCACCAGGTATACCGTAACCGCACGGTTGGCGGGTTAGCTTTTTTAACGATCGCGCTTGACGCTCGCTCGGATTACCATAACCGATCGATTACTGGCACACCATTGCGAGCGAAGGGTTTCTCGTGGATAAAGACGTTAATCCGACTGCTTGTGCTCGCTAGAAAATCGCCTCCTCTATGCGATGCATGTATTATATTAATTATAATAATAAAAAATTATATTAATTATATTAATAAATTAATAATATTAATTAATTATATTAATAAAATTAATATATATAAATATAAAATTTAAAAAGCTTAATAAATCAAGTTTTGAAGTTGTGAATAGATAAAAAAAATCCTCGTTGATTTATTTATTTAATTTAAACTTAACGCAATTTTAATAGATATAAAACGTGTATGGTTCGAATATAAATTTCCAACAAATATGTTAAGAATTTCTGGTTAATAAATGAAGATTCTACGAAAGAATCCATTTGAAACGACACCGATAAGATTCTATACCGCACGTAACGAACTGCTGAAAGACGATTGTGATTGCAATTTTTCTACCGGCATAAAGCGATCTTCTCAAAGCGCGTTTTGTGCACGCGGGATATGGGTTACGATGATCAGCAGATTCGTTCGGGCACGTACATATACACATATATATATATATATATGTATACATCTGTATATAGATACATATCCGTTTCGCATATGCGCGCATATTCGACGATCACCTCTACAAATCGCCGATCGTTCATCATCATCGTCTCACTCCTACTCGATAAAGACTCAATGCGGGCCCCGACTCGGCTTTTAACGTAAATCAAGCATGCTTATGAACGTGTTCTCTCTCTCTCTCTCTTCCTCTCTGTCTTTCCTTCCTCATCATCCCCCCTGAGAAGAAAGCCCCGTAGTTCATTCTGGAGGCGTCGATCCTTTCGTCTCGTCGTCCTCGCCGCGTGAACGAGCGAGAGCGAGTAGCCGCGAGGCGCGCGTCGCGGATACACGGGGCGTGCACGCGATGAGACTCGTGAGAAAGATGAACGATAGCCAGATGGATACGTCAATATGCGTGCTATTAGCCGTTACTTTTTGGATTTATTGCCCGATGCCCCGTAAATCCCGTGATTTCTAATTACATGGTCGCGTTTGTCCTACTCTTTCCCTTTTCCCTCGATATGCCTATCTCGCGCGTTCAGTTCCTCACGCCTGTTCTATCTTCGGCCTCTCTCTCTTTCGTCTCCTTAATTCCCTACTTATTCGCGCGGCTCTTCCGCCTCGATCGATTTCTATTAAAATAAAGCGTGCCGAAGCGGGCGGCGGTCGCGAAGTTTATTGATAATAACTGGGCTACAACGTGTGCGATTCGGTCGATTATTATATTCTCGATTTTGCTACGGTAAACTGGAGAACGGTCTATTCTATGATGTAGTTGTAATTTAATCACAGGTTAATGCTTGATCGTATCCGCGGGCGATTAATCGCTTAATTAGTTGACTAGATGAATTATCGAGAGTTTCTATGTGAAAAATAATAACTCGTGAAATCTTGTGATGCCTCTGTGATTGATTCAATACACTTCCTCTCTATAATTTTAATCTATTATAACAAAATAAAGCCAACGATTCTTTAGAGAAATATATAATATTAAAAAAGACGATATATATATTTTTGTAACAATATATTTCATATACACAGAGAGAATTTTTCCTTAGCATTTACCTCGAAAAATTAATTCAATATATTTTATATCTTATTGTGGTAGATATATCAATATTTTTATTGTAGCAAAATATTAATCAGAGAAACTCTTATAAAATTCTTTAATACCATATTATCCCACGATGATTTTTAGGATAAATTCTAAGAAAAGATTCTCCCATGTACATTTCCCGAATAATATACTTTCCGATATCTCAATTATTATCAATAAAAGTT